CTAAAGTGGATGCTGAAGTTTGCGTCGTTTGAGACGGGGGCTCATTATGTAGCCCAGGCTGGTCAGGAATTCCATGTGGAGCCCATGTCCTGCCTCAGACTTCTGAGTGACAGGGTTGCAGTTTTGTGCCACTGTACACACCTCAGGGCATACCCTGAACTTTGCGCTCTGCAGTTGTACCGAAGGCTTCTTCCTCTACTATACTGCTCTGAAACCTAGGCTTTGCTCTCGTCCCAAAGCACTACGGCCCCTCCCCATCAGTCCTTAGAGAGAACTCAGGCTATAAATGGGTGGGTGGCTGTAACTGAGACGCTACTGGGTACAAAGGCTCAAAAAAGGAGGCAGGGAGACACAAGGCCAGTCATCTGCCTTGCAATCTAGGAAATTCTCCAGAGCCTCTTACCTTTTCAAAGTGAAGCCTTAGGCAGGAGGTGTGGCTTCAGAGTCCAGTTACTTAGGCAGCACCAGACACAGGGCTCCAGCCTGCCCAACAGCAGAAATTCTGGTGCCTTCCCTCACATGTGTGGGTGCCTGCCCTGGGTTATTGTCCACAGGGACATTTTAGTCCATTCCACCAACAGTGATCAGAATCCCACTGGCATACTGTTAGAATCACAAAGATTCTGTAATTTGTGTTTTCCTGTAGTATGGGCACGAACCATGCATGCCTTGCCAATACTCGTTAAACACCCTACCACTGAGCGATAGCCCACCCCTTTCTGGCTCTCTTTCTTTTAAAAAATCTTTTTATTTTAAAAAACCTTAAAAGTATGCTTAGTTATGCATTAAGTGTGCGTGCGCATGCGCACCTGTGGAGGTCTGAGGACACGTTGCAGACGTCAGTTCTCTTCTTTTACCATGTGGACCTTGGGGGTCCAACTCAGGTCATCAGGATTGGCAGCAAACTCCCTCACCTGCTGAACCACCTCACTGGCCCTCTTCCTGATGAATTTCGTAAAAGCAAAATTATAGAACCTAGGCATGAAAACGGAAAGGAACGGGAAATAAACTGCTAGCACAAGTCAGTGACTTTAGAAATCCTAGAGTGATTTCGTTTCTTCCCTTCCTGCTTCTGCAGTGCTGGGGATGGAACCCGGGGTGTCGCACATGCTAGGGAGGCGCTCTACCAATGAGCCACGCTCCAAGCCAAGGTTGGACTATTTTAAACATCTCATATGCTGCTTTAAATAACTTTAGGTAAATGAACTTTAAGAAAATCACAGGAAAACTAATGGTAAATTATGAACATGTCTTCTCATGCCTTAATCACAGAACTAGATTTTCAAATTTAAGACAAATACATGTCTCAAATCTAGTAAGACTCAGATAGTTTTAAAGAAGGCTTAAGACATCTTTCTTTTTATGGTTTTTTTTTTTTTGTCTTTGAGATAGGGCCTCCCTGTAGCCCCAGATGGCCTGGAACTCACTAATGTAGACCAGGAAGCCCTTGAACTCACAGAGATCCACCTGTCTCTTCTTCCGGGAAGTGCTGAGATTAAAGGGGTGTGCTACCATGCCCGGCAAGACATCTTTATGAGTTTCAAATAGTTCTGTCTGAAAATAAGCCCATCTTGACAGTGTTTATTGTCATGGTGTTCATTAATAGGAACTTATGCCTGCAAATATTCTAAAGTTACTTTGGATCACAGACCTTCCATTCAGAAAGCTGCTCCACCAGCTGCTTGAACAGGGGTCTCCAGGGAAGAACCATCCTATAAGGACCTGCCTTCCCAGGACACCTTCTGTGGCTTATGGCTCTTCTCTCCCCTGTGTCAATGATGTCATCTACCCTGCATGTGATTCAGGAGCTGTCACGATAAGTTAGAGTAACATGTCAAGAAGACTGAAGTACAATCATTGTCCCACGATTTCAGCCGAGAGGTCCTGAGAAGCCCTTCTAGGCTGCTTCATGGCAGCACAACTGATAAGTTTCATCTCATTTACAGTCTCAAAAAGTGTCTGCCCTCACCTGAGTATCACTAAAATATATAATCAACTATTAGATATTTCAAGTAATGAAGCCCCAGCTGCTAGTCAGGGAAGAGTCAGTATCCAGTCAGGTGAAATGGCGGCAGACAGCCTGAAGCACAGACTGTCCATGAGCATTAGGATACTGTGCTTCCCCTGCACGCACTAAGTCCTTAAATGACTTGAACAAGCTGAGAAGATTCAGGCTCAAAACTCTAAAGCGACGTCAAGGACAAAAACTTCTCTACTGAGGGCTAGGAATTCAACTGGCGTGTTCACTGCAGGGAGGAATTACTGCCATAAAAACTCTTGCTGTTGTGGCTATCGGTGGTCGTGGCAGTGCTCCTCTGGGTTTGGTCTGGGGATAGGATTTCACTGTGTGATCCTAGTTGGCCCGAAACTCATGAGACAGACCGGGCTGGCCTCATTACTGACCCTAACCCTTACGTAATCTTCTACTTCTGACCACGGAGTGTTGGGGTTGCACTGCGCCTATAAAAATAGTTTTATAGATTTACCCGTCCACCCTCCATGAATGGATGAAATCAGTTCTGTTTTGTTAGTTCTCCACAGAAACCTAGATTCCAAAGCTGCTCATGAAAACCTCGCCCACCGTTGGATGTGGTGACACATGCATTTAATCCCAGCATCTCAGAAGGTAGATGCAGGCAGATCTCTGTAAGGTTGAGGCCAGCCTGGGTCTCCTCAATGAGTTCCAGTCCAACTGGGGCTATAGGAAGACCCCTGTCTCAAAAAAAAAAACAATCTTACCCACCATCCTTATATACTAAAGACTTCTAACATTTACCCTTAAAGGTCCAAGTAACATTATCATTTCCATTTAGAAAGTTTCTATTTGCATTAGCACAGTAATATTGCATTTCTCCAAACATGTAGAATTCTGTCTACACAGTGGTCATCTGAAGAGACCCTTTCTTTCCTGTGTAACGGCCTTACCGCTGCTGTGGTAATCTGCACCCAGCTATCCTCATCTTTCTAGACAGTACTGACCGCAAACCTCGAATGGCTGGCTCTCTTAATCCTATGCAAAAGTTAAAATGAGAGAGCAGAAATCACTTGATCAGGAGAAAAGAAGGAAAAGCCACATTTATCCAACACGGATCACTCAGAACCTCAGTGGCCATTACACATACTGTTTTTTTTTTTTTTTTTTTTTTTTTTTTTTTTTTTTTTTTTTTTTTCTTTTTTTTTTTTTTTTTTTCGTCTTTTTGAGACAGGGTCTCCCTGTAGCCCCAGCTGGCCTAGAACTCACTACGTAGACCAGGCTGGCCTTGAATTCAGAGTTCAAGCTCTGTCTCCCGAGTGCTGGGGTTAAAGGCGTGTGTGTGTCATCACGCCTTGCTAATGACACACACTGTTACTGAGGAACTGGATTTCCTAACAGACCAAACTTCACGTCTTCATCTCGATACAACAACTGTGCACTTGTGTCCATCCATTTTCCTTACTACCTCCCGTAACTGACACACCAAGGAGCAGTAAGACATGGTGACATTCCTTCTACACACTTGCCCTCTAAGCCCAAAGCGACACCTAACAAGCAGCAGTCTCCCTTCTCGGTATGGAGAAGATACCCTTCGTTCCTAGGCCCGCCTGACTGGCCCTCGCCCTTTGGCAAACCTTTAGCTCCCTTTCTCAAACTAGCTTGAAGTGTTCCCTCAACCTCAGCCCTCCCTTCCCTCACCAGGAACTGCGACCACAGAGAACGTATGTCTCCCACGTCTCCAACCCAATTCTACGACTCCTCATTTACTGCTTTTTTCTATTCTCTCTGCTCCATTCACGTTTTCCTCTTTCAACAGACCCTTCCTAGTGCTCAAAAAAATCCAACAAAGTGTTTAATTTTCCAACTTCAGAAAGGAGGAGGTGGGGAGACGGAAGAGAAGACACAGCCTCAGTCACACCCGTCTTAGAGCCATGGCCTTTCTGCCAACTCGGGTGGTCTGCAGTGGGAACACATGGATGGAGCAGCTTGTCACCTCCACCCTCGTCCATTCTCCCAGGCTCCGTTCTTCCTCCAATAGGCCAACAGCCCGCATGTCTGAGGTACCTGAACGCCGCACACTTCCTCACGCCAATCTTCTCATTCCTTGACGATTCCTTCCCATGACCTCTAATCCCAGCTAGAACTGACCTGATTGGAACAAGCCGAGGCGCACGGGGGGCATCCCTAAGGCGAAGGCCTTGGCTGGCCCCCAGCAACTCCCATGCCCCACTCTGAATACTTCAGCTCTACAGAAGGCTTGTCAACCCTGCGGTCTGTGGGCACGAGCACACCCAAGCACAGCTCAGCTACGCATACGTTCTGGTCGCAGTCCTGCAGCAGGGCACGAGGGCTCGAGACTACTGGTGAGTGTCTCTAGCATGGTGGCGCACAGGATAGGAACCCCCCAAAGCCTGAGGGGAAGGAGCGTGTTGTGCCCCACTCTGGGGACGGCACAAATGACTGATGAGAACTCCATGCAGAGTCTGCTGTGTAAACGTAATCCTGGTTTGGGAACACATAAGCAAAGAGATAAAACATCTCCTACAAAACCAATCCAGTCTTTGCAGCTGAGGCTGAAGAGGCTGAGCAGATGTCCCAGAATGGGCGGCACGGGCATCCACAGCCTTCGGACACAAAGGCTAGAGAGCAGGAGCCCTGCCAGGCTGGTATCGCACCTCACAGCTACGGGTACACAGCAACTCAGCCGTAGCTCTCGGTGCAAGTGACTCCAGGAAAGGGTAGCGAGGGGCATTTGTCTGAAAGCCTTGGAGCTGTGCCGTAGCTTTGGCACGGGAATGGCAAACAAAAGATTCGAGAATCTGCTTAACTTAAGCCAGGTGCGTTGGCTCCTGCCTGTCATGCCAGCTCTTAGGAGGCTAGGGAAGAAGGACTACTGTGAGCTCCTGACCAGCATGATCCACAGTATGAAACCTTGACTAAAGCCCTTAAAGTTTCCAAGCTCACAGCTGCAGTCAGCCAGTCAAGGAGAGCTGGCTGTGAGCTGCACCATCCAGGGAGGCTGGTAATGCCAACATTTGCCCCACCACAGCCAGAGTCACAACCAAAGGTTCTTGCTTTAAAGAATGGGTCACAATGTTCTGACTTAGACTGTATGTTTTAGGATCTTTTCTGTATCCCCCAACAAACGCACAGTGGCTTCTGTGTTCGTACATTGGCAGACATAACTGACAAGAGGAACAGCATCGTTCTCCCAAAATAGGACACAGGCCTCATGGAGGACAAACACCGTGGACTCGGCTCTGACCAGCATTCCAAACAGTTCTTCCCAGCCTTTCCAACCTCCCCCAAGTCATGAGCTGAGGTGCGCGCACTGTGGACTATGAGCTAAACCATGGCAGTCCTGAGGTGACCCCACTATGGTTGAGAGCCTCGTAGGACCCGCTCTCCAGAACTCTGGGCTACTGGAGAGCACAGAGCTGTGCCTCATGAGCTTGGGGCAGACACACATGTATCTTGGGTACTAAGACAGGGTCATTACAGAGAATGACAGGCATTCAAAACTGCTTCTAGATCAGCACTGACTTTAACAAGGAAACCTGCTGTTTAATTATTTTACTGGACAAACACCATTACTGGACCGGTACTGAGGAAGAATGTCTGCTTTCTCTTCCTGTCCTGAGGGCTCTATCCTGGCCTACTGACCCAAGGACAGCCCACCTTCTGACAAGGAGGGTCTCAGGCAACTCAGTCACGATTCTCCTAAGGCTTTAGAAAATGCACAGGAGATGACGAGGTACTGAGGTAAACAAACAACGGACCGTTACCGTGCATACATTCCGGTGGAAGTCTGTTCTTTCTGAAAGCAAGTCTCTCCGTTTCCTTTCTGTTTTCTGCCGGACTAAACAGGGCTCCGTAAACACACCGACGAACTGGCCTAAAGAGCAGGGTGGCCGGAGGCAGGTCTTTGCTGGCTTCATCTTCGATAGAAACAGCGATTTTGACTTTGCCCTTTGCATGGAAGAAAGAAGAACGATATTGCATATTTTTCATGTTGAATTTACAACAAACTCACAGCAATATACTGCATTATCTCCAATAACGACACTGCAATTCTATTCCAAGTCAACGCCTTAACAACTCGCCTACAGTGAGGCATTTAGGAGACTTCACTGGCAGTCTGTGGTCCAAACATAAGTGCGGAGACTCCAAATGAACCCCACGTTATTTTTTATTCAAAACCAAGAACAAAAGAAAACCACATAGATAACCCAAAGTCTTTTAAAACAATCTAGACAGGTAACATCGGACGACAAATACAATACAAAACATGGAAAAATCTCGACTTTCATCCACGGTCAAGATGGTCAGATGTAATAAAATTTATCATTTTCAATGACCTATACACAGTCAAAGGAATCCAGTACTTTGAAATGAAACAGTGAGATTTTTACCAGGCTTTTCCATTAAATGTGACCTCACGTCAAAAATGATCTCCTTCACAGAACTGTCTTAAACACACCCTCAGCTTTTGTCCCAGGATGGCGGGTGCTCACTACGAATCCCACTGTTGGGCAAGGCCACGAACAGCTGCCGGGGCAGAAAGCAAAAGCACCCCACCCCCGCTCGGGTCCCAGGCCAATACGGCGAGAGCTTCATCTGCCTCCAGAGCGTGCCACCGAGAGACCATGGCCTTCAGCAACCGAAACTGCCCCCCAGATTCTAATTCACGGCGTCGCAGTACGTCAGACGTTCTTTAAGGAGTTTTACTTAAGGATATTTGTAACAAAAATACCCGTATGACCCTCGATACCTGTTAAGTTTATTGATAAACCCTTCTAAATCATTTGGATATTTGCTCTTCCACACAAACTTAATCTCAAAATCGTCATTCTCCTTACCCTCAGCATTTTCCTGATTCATCCAGTGGCTATATACTCTAACATATTCATCGAGGGAGTATTTCTTTTGTGATGATGCTTTGATAATTCTCAACATCGCTTTGAAGCTTCGTGTCACAGCACACACCTCGGCCTGGAAACCTAGCTCACAGGAAATCCTAAGCAGCATTTTAACACCTGAAGAGACAGTCAAGCTCACTTTTCTCAGTGGTGGTCATTCTGTCAATTGTCCTTGGCCTCTGTGGGAGCTGAAGAAGGCTGCCAGCACAGTCTTCACCCCTCACATGGATCTAGCCAGCTGCTGAGACATCAAGACTGGCAGCCTGGATGCAGAAGGTGGCTCCAGTGACCCTTACATTTCCACTCTCAGAGAACAGAGTACCATCTCTTAAGTATATTCTATAGAAGGTTGTCTTCTAAAATTCTGGTCTTTTAAATATACCACAGTTTTTTTTCTATAACAAAACTTTCACCCTTCATAATTTATGGTGATTCTCTAAAAGAATATTTCTCTTGCTACCACAATCTAACCAATGATATTCTTGCACACCTCTATCAAAGAGTAAGGCAAAACTTGGAGGCAGTGACAACTAAAAAGTGAATTAAAAGAACTAAGTAAATAACATTGGCTAAACACTCTCCATGTTTGGATGAGCTGGTCAGCAGTTCACTTTGTGAGAAGTGTGGAACAAGAAGGAGCCTTTTGTATTTACCGATCCCATTTTACAAATCACGGGAGGATCGCGAGGAATAGAAAAAGAGACGGTGGTACAGGTATTGAGGAAAACACGTTGCTAGTGCAAAATAGCAATGAGCCGATGCCGCACGAGGTTGTCACTGGAGTCACGTGTGCCAACACAAAGACCACAGACCATTGAGAAAACTCAAATACACGGAGAAGCACTGGGACAGAACACTAAAAACCAATGCCAACTATATGCATATATTTAGCCACATATCTGGTAAGATAATAATAAAAGTGAAATTACGCCACTGTATAAAAAGCTAAGTGCCGTTTTCTGACTGTGCACGTTAACAGACTCCTACACTCTACTTTGAAAATCCTACTCTACATGAAAACTGCAGTGAGCGAGAGGAACAAGTCAGAATGCATGACCTACTATTAGCACCTCAAAAGGAGAGATGTTATTGCCCAAGGACAGATAATAAAGAAGTCAGGTAAAATCTGTGACATCAGATTTAGCTGACATTGCAGTACAATTTATGATATAAGAAACCTTTACTTTTACTAAGAAAATAGTAATATAAATCATAAAACAATGTCATGTATCATTATTTCACTAGAAATTTCAAAACAGTTATATTAAATTGAAGGCAAACTGAGACTTCAGGACTTACTTTTAAATTGCATTCACAGGTAGAAGATTTCATCTTTTGTTTAGCAAGGTAGAAAAATGGCTCACAAACCGCGAAAAGGGACCCAACACCTGCCAAATAACAGAAGTCATTCAAAGGCCCGTAAATAATACCTTCGTCAGGACATGGAAGATGTAGGGTACATCAGTCCCTTCTTGTGCCCGTGCTCGGCCACTCTCAGCACCTCGGGTGTGACGGGGGCAGGGGAGGTGTGGTGATGTCCATGTGGTTCCTGGTGGGCATCGACAGGAGGCACGGGATTGGTTGGACAGTGTCCATATGGCCCCCTTTGTCTTCTGCTTTCTCAAGGGGCAGTGGATGAACCTTCTGCCTACAGACCAAAGGGCAGGAGTGGGGGGGAGGGGACAAGTTCATGTCCAGTTCCTGTTTCCTCAAGCTCACAAGGTGCTTGTCCACCTCAAGGCCACAGAGGCCACATAGATGACTCCTGCCTAGAGTTGTCAGATCCAGGGCCAACTGAAAGGCAGGGAGGCCAGAGAACACGCTCATCTGATCCCTCTTCAGACTGCCCTATGCACAAAAATTTCAGGGACAGCCACTGTGCCGTGGAGGACAGCCTGGGTGTGTCTCCCCGTGGCTTGGGAGACCAGAAGACTCGTCTCAGGAAGCATCTCATCTCACCTCATCTTCCCTCGACCCTAAACTCTTTGCTTGGGGCCCCCAGATCTCGGTAGCTGCCGTACGGTCTTGTCTCATTCTCAGACCGTCACCATGCATTAAGTGTTTCTGTTGTCCTTAAGATCTCATTGATGTTGCTGTTGATTAGGAAACTGACACTCCGAGAGGCTCTGTAGTTTAACCACTGTTCAGTAACCAGTAACTCAAGAACTGGATTCATATCCAGGTCTGACTCTAGTCCTGCCATAGCTGGTACTTCAAGAACAAAATCCTATCTAAAACTTATTCTTAGAGTCATAATAAAGTCCAAAATTAATTATATGCAGGCAAAAATGAAGCAGAACAGCACCACAGTCCCTCTCTCGAAACCAAACTACTCCCATCTAATCACAGCACAGTGACCAGAGAACATGTGTCCCTCGATCTGGTGGGGCAGTTTGCCTTCAAACCATAACACCGTCACAGCCGGCCTGTTGTGATCAGCACTCCATTTTCTCCTGTCTCTCGGTCGCCATGGCTTTATTGGATTGGTGGCAGGAGGCTGGATCTTTCCTGGGTCTATCTGCACAATCTCTTGCTAACTCTGGCTTGGACAGCTTTGGAAGGAGCCTGAAGATGATGCAGTTGGACTTGGGCTCAGGCTGCCGCCCAGAATCTGAGCTGGGTTCCGAGGCTTGTCAAAACCTGGTGTGACCGTGTTCTTTCCCTCCCTTGAAACTTTCCTTCTTTATAGACCTCAGACCTTCACTTTTCTGGGTCATGGGAGGGTCTAGTTTTATCCATTTCTACCCCAGGAGCCTCTCAATAGTGAGGAAGAGTCTACACTGTCTTCTCTGTTCATTTCTCTCTGTCTCTGTTTCTCTCTTTCACTTTAAAGAAAAGCATTTATTTTTGCTTATGTGTGTGTGTCTGTGTGTTTGTGCACACGTGTGAGTGCAGGTGCTCACAGAGGGCAAAAGAAGGTGCCGGACCTCCCTGGAGCCAGCATTACAGGCAGCTGTGAGATGTCTGACGTGAGTGCTGGGGACCGAAGCCTGGTCCTCTGAAAGCAATGACTGTTCTAACCACTGAGCCGTCTGTCCAGCCCCAGCGTTAATTTTCTGACCTTTTCCTTTTCTATCTCGACCTTGCCTTCCTGTCCTTATGTGCTTGCTCATAACATGGGTTTCCTCCACACTGACCAACCAAGGTTCTCCCTCCAGACTGGCTGCCCCAATGGGTGCCCTTCCCCTAGAGGGAGGGACGTGGGAGGAGCCCGGTAGGTCCCTGCCCTGGTCTATGCAGACATTGATTCCTGCTCTTGTCTCATCTTCCCTTCTGCCTCACTCTGTAGCCCTTACCCTAAGGGCCCCCAAGCCTCACCAGCCTTCTGTTTCCCAGGGAGAGTGTCTAGCTCTAAGCATTTAAGCTTCCAGAATCCTAGCAGGAAGCCGGGCCAGATTCCCGCCCACTGCCTCCATCCCAGTTGAGATAAGGAAGGGTCCTGAGTCCAGCTTAGAGGAAGCTGTTGTTCAGACCACCCAGACCAAACCTGGGGTGTCTCGGTCTCCCCTGTAGACAGGCTGAGGACACCCAGTCCTAGAAGTCTAGTGGAGATTTCTTCAAAGGGGACGGGTCACCAGGGTCCTCAGAGCTGCAGGACGTGGAGGACAGTAGGAGAGGCTAGGGGTGTGGGATGTGCGTCTTTCCTGGACACCCAGGGGCTCTGGGTCAGGACTGCCAGCCCAGCTGTGTTCAAGACCAAGTCAGAGCCCCATGGAAGCTCAGAGGGAGAGCCGGGTCCCAGGCTGCCCGAGGGGTGGGAGTCTTCATTTATATGCAGGGTGTGTGCCCCGCTCCCCCTCCTCCTGCCCCTCCCCCTCTCACAATTACAGCATGCTGCGCTGCCTCCCACGCGGCACCCACTCCGACAGCCACCCTCGGGCCTGGCTCTTGCCATAAACTAAACTGAGCATTCTGGTACTTAGCAGTCCCTGCCTGGGTCCTGCTGTGCTGTGGAAGCAGCACCCTCTTGTGGCGGAAATCAGTTATTGCCTCAGTCAGGGACTTGGCCGCTGGGTGGCCTGCAGAGCGCCGTCCTTCATCAGCGTCCCTTCTGCTTGGGGTCCTGCAGCCCCTCCTCAGAGATTCCTTCCTGTCCCTGTGGCCGAACTCATTGATAGCTGACTTTTGCAGAGGCCTGTAAGGCAGGTTTAAAATATTTTATTTATTATTTTTATTTAATGTGTATGAGTGTTTTGCCTGCATTTATGTGAGTGCACCCGTGTCGTGCAGTGCCTGTAGGTCAGAAGAGGGCGTCGGATCCCCAGGAACTGGAGTTACGGATGGTTGTTAGCTGCCATGTGGGTCCTCTGCAAGAGCAGCCAGGGCCTTAACAGCTGAGCTGTCTCTCCAGCCCCTTGGTGGTTTTACACTTTATCCCTGTATCTGCTCCTGATCTTGAGGTCCACACGCTTCTGGAAGAGAGGGAAGATCAGGGACACAGGAAAACTAGAGGTGCTATTGGGCAGGGTCTGGAGGTCTGGGTGGTGAGGGACAAGGTGAGGTGAAGCATTGGACCACTGGTATGATAAACCCAGCTGTGACTTGCATAGCACCCTAAAGGAACGGCATGAGCAGTGTTTGGGTCCCAGCACCCATGTCAGGGGGTTCACAACCATCTGTAACTCCAGCTCTAGGGCATCTGACGCCTTCTTCAGGCCTCCAAGGGCAGCTAGCTGCACAACCCAGGTGGCACTTACACACATGCAGGCAAAACATTCATACACATAACATAAAAATAAATAAAATTTAAAAACTAAAAACTAACCAGGCATAGTGGCACACACCTTTAACCCCAGCCCTCGGGAGGCAGAGGCAGATGGTCATCTCTATGAAATGGAAGTCAGCCTGGTCCACAAAGTGACTTCCAGGCTGGGACTGGGGAGACCTTGTCAAAATTAATTAATTAATTAAAATTAAATCTTTTGGGACTGGAGAGAGGTTTCAGTGGCTAAGAGCACATGCTCTTATAGAGGACCCAAGTTCAATTCCCAGCACCCACACCAGGCAACTCACAACTACTTGTAACTCCAGCTCCAGGGACTCCAATACCCTCTTCTGGCCTTCACAGGCACCTGCATTCACATGTACATGCACATACACACAAATACATATGTATACACATGATTTGTTTTTTGAAGTAGGGTCTCACTGTGTAGCTCCAGCTGGCCTGGAAGTCACTATGTAGACAGGCTGACCTCAATTTCACAGAGCTCCACCTGCCTCTGCCTCCCAAGTACTGGCATTAAAGGTGTGCACCACTATGCCCAGCGATTTTTTAAAAAATCTTTTTAAAAAGAAAATAAAATCCAACCCAAGTGGTGAAAGGAGTAACACCCAAGACTTGCCTCTGACTTCTAAGCCTGCACATGGCACGAGCCTCCCCCTCGAAATAAAAAACACACATCTTTAATCCCAGCACTGGGGAGGCAGCACTAGGCAAATCAGTGAGATTGAGGCCAGCCTGGTCTACATAGTGAGTTTTAGGCTGGCAAGGGCTACAGGAGACCCTGTCTTAAAGAAAAATTAGGGCCTGAGAGATGGCTCAGCGATTAAGAGTACTGGTTGCACTGGGTTCAAGTTCCGTACCCACATGGTAGCTAACTCCTGTTTCCCTCTTCTGACTTCCACAGGCACTGCAAAACATGGGTGCACTTATATACACGCACTTACACACATGCAGGCAACACACTCATACATATAAAATAAATATTAAAACCCGCCCTCCTCACTTGTGACTGTGAGAGCTTTCTAGGGAAAGACACAGGTCAGTGCTACCTCCATCAACGACACAGGAGACTGTACCACTGTGGGATGCCAACCGCCATCCCAGCTTCATCCTCACATCCCAGGCCCTGACCTGGGAGACCTCGCGGAGGCTCCATCCTTGGTCCAGCTACCTCCTTACTTCTCAGTCTCCTGGGATTTCCCCGGTGTTACAGGAAACACAGCCAAGTACTTCAAAAGACGCTGTTTACTACCATGAATTTCCTAATGCATTAGAGATGGAATCACCCTCAACATAATCAGTTTACTGGCTTCTAAGACTGTAGGCAAGGGTTGGGGTGCCCCCGAACTGCCATGTTCTAGTCTGTGATCCGCAAATGCCCGAAACAGACAAAGACAGGTGAGTCCAGAGAAGGAACGACAGATTTATTATGGCCGGGCTACACTCTTTCCTAAAGGAAGGGTCCAAGAGTAGCCCCAAGCCTAAGCACTCTGGCTTTTTTTTTTTTTTGTCTTTTTGAATCAGGGTCTCCCTGTAGCCCCAGCTGTCCTGGAAATCACTACGTAGACCAGGCTGGCCTTGAACTCACAGAGATCCACCTGCCTCTGCCTCCCAAGTGCTGGGACTAAAGGCATGTACCACCACACTCAGCTTGAAACCTGATCTTTTAAAGTTTCCCTAAGTCTGCCAACCAGAAAGGGGTCCATTAGCAACAATTACTATTTTGCAGAAGCAAGCCAAGCATAACCTACAGAAACCATAAATCAGCAGTTAGCAGGAGTACTCTAGGATGCTCTGACCTGTTCCCAAGACACCAGCTGGCATTCCCATACCCTGGGCCAACTGCCTGATAATTTCAGAAACTAGAGTCGGCCTAAACTTTAACGTGGTCAAGAAGGTGCGCTCTTACATTCCCAACTCTTCTCTTGTGGGTATTCAAACCTTTGAATCTTGGCTCAAGGTTTCATATTGGGTTCTCAGGACCATAATCTTAACAGCCTCAATTCTTTGATGTACAAACTTGCTAAAACAATTCATAAGGCAAGGTCCAAACATCGGGAGAGATAGTAAAAAGAGTAAAGGTCTGATATGGCAGTAATCAGGGTGGTTAACCAGGGTGACCAAGAGAATAAGGACTCGAACCAATTGGAGGACGCTTGCCTACCCTCCTCTCTCTGCCTGATTCTTTGTTTGACAAGATTAAGACTTTATTACCTATTATAACTTCGTCAGATCTAGTGACTTGCCATTCATATTGGTGGGGCTTATGGGAATTTACTCCCAGGGTGTAGTTACCTAAATTGATTAACAAAACTATCGACAATTGAGAATTGCATTTTATCCTGGTTAACTTGATCCCTGTGGGGCCAGTTAATATCACAGTCCAATCCTAAGGAATGTGTTCAGGTTCATCTCTTTTCAGGTGAGATCTGCGAATCCAGTAGAGCTTGCCTACCATTTTGACTGCGGTAGGGGTGACTAGAATCACCTGGTATGGTCTGGTCCACTTTTCCTTGAGACTGCAATCAGTGTGTTTCTTGACCCACATCCAGTCTCCGGGTTCAAGTCTGTCAGAGTGCCGGCCTGTAGGTTCAGGTCTCTTAGCGGTGCGAACCGTTTGGTGGAGATCCGGAAGCACAAATTGAAGAACTGCAGAGACTTCAAAAGTTCCTGGTTAGTCATTGTAAGATTTTTGGAGCCTTATTTTTGGAGTGAGGGGAGGTGGCCTTCCATGAAGAATTTCTAAAGGGTACTTCCCTTGATATAGGGAGCACATCTTACACACAAAAGAGCAAAGGGAAGGGAAGGAGACTCACCCAGTCATCCCCGGGCTCCATAATTAATTGGTAAGGACCTCTTTTAGGGGCCTGTTCATCCTTTCTACCTGCTCTGAGCTCTGAGAATGATATCCTCAATGTAACTTCCGATCTATCTGCAGTCCCCTGGCAGCTGACTTAGGTAGCTGAGAAATAAAAGCTGGCCCGTTATGTGATCCTAACATAAGGGGGACTCCAAATCTAGGTGCTATTTCATTCAGTCACTTTTTTGCTACTGCTAGGGCCAATTCTGTCCTGGTGGGGAAAGCTTCGACCCATCTTGAAAAGGTGTCCACTAACACTAACAGGTATCAATGCCCACATAGGCTGTTTTTGAGTTCTGTAAAAACCAACGCCCAGTGCTCTCCTGGGCTTGTCCTCGCAACCTTCTTCTTGTTGCCTGTTGATGGGGAGACGGGTTAACTTTTGCACAGGTCGGGACCTGCACACTAACACTGGGTTATCTCTGATAGTTTTGGAATGTAGAAGTCTCTTCTTGCTAATTCCATTAGCTCTGTGTTCTCCAGATGTGTTGCAGAATGAGCTTGTCTCAGCCAGTCTTGTCTGGTGGCTTCTGGAAGGAAGCTGTGGCCATTGGGAAGAGCCAGCCATCGTCCGTTCCAGCTCGTGCCTGCAGATCTTCTCCAATCTTCCTCTCCTCCTTTGTGTAGACAGGTCTGGGGGGCAAGGACCTAGATGGCAGCACGGTCAAGATTCCTAAAGGTAGTACCTCTCTTTTGGCCGCAGCATGGCTTCTTGGTCAGCCCGGTTGTTCCCAGTAGCAACAGCATTCTCTCCTGTCTGATGTCCATGACAGTGAAGGATGGCAACTTTCCTTGCAAGCCAAATGGCATCTAACAAGGCCAAGATTGCTTCTGTGTTTTTAATTTCCTTTCCTGCCTAGGTTAACAGGCCTCTCTCTGTAAAGAGCTCCATGAACATGAGCAGTAGCAAAAGCATATCAGCTGTCAGTGTATATACTGACAGTCTTTCCCTCTGCCCAGTGGATAGCCCTGTACTAAGGCTCTTAGCTCAGCCTTCTGTGTGGGAACACCTCGGGATAGGGCCTGAGACCAGACTACAGTTCCATCAGGTAGGACAACGGCAGCCCCCGCACATCGGACCCCATCCTCCATATAGCTACTGCCATCCGTGAATAAAGTTGCATCAGGATCAGCAAGAGACATATCCTTTAGATCTTCTCCGGCCCCTGCAATAGTCTCAACAGTTTCCAAACAGTCATGTAGAATCGGCTCAGCCTCCCCTCCAGGGTCGGGTAATAAAGTTGCAGGGTTTAAAGTCTCAGTCTTAAGAAAGGAGATGCGGGGAGGATCCAGTAGCAGAGTTTGGTATTGGGTCTCCCAGGTATTAGAAAGCCATTTGCCAGGTGGGGCCCTCAGGAGGAGTATCACTGCATGGGATGCCTTGCTGGGATGTCTTGCCCCAAAGTCAGCTTCCTTAACTAGGACGGCGGTGGCAGCTGTTGCTCTCAGACAGCCAGGCCATCCCGAAGCCACGGCATCAAGTTTTTTTGACAGATAACCCACTGGCCTTTTCCATGGCCCAAGGGTTTGGGTCAAGACACCTTTAGCGATCCCCTTTGCCTTATGTACATAGAACTGGAAGGGCTTAGAAATATCAGGAAGTGCTAGGGCTGGCGCCTAGATCAGAGCCTCCTTGAGTTTCTCAAAAGCCCAAGTTTGCCCCTCCTCCCAGACTGTATCTTCCCCATACCTTTAGTTGACTCATACAGCGGGCAAGCTATTTCAGCAAAACCTGGAATCCATAATCAGCAGTATCCAGCTGTCCTGAGAAACTCAAGGATCTGTCTCCAAGTGGGTGGTACTGGGATATTCAGAATAGCCTGGATTTGGGCTGGGCCCAGAGTGCAATGTCCTTGTTGAAGTTGGTATCCTAAGTAAGTGACAGACTCCTGACAGAATTGAGCCTTTTTGAGAGAGACCTTGTATCCCACTTGTTCTAACTCTAAGAGCGAGCTTTTAGCTGCTGCCTCACACTCATCCTGAGTTGCCAGGAGGAGATCATCGACATACTGGAGCACCATGACTTCTGGGTGGTTCCCTTTAAAAGAGACAAGGTCTCTTCTAAGGGCCTCATCAAATGGAGTAGGGGCATTCTGGAATCCTTGTGGCAGTCTGGTCCAGGTTAGTTGGCCTTTAAAGGATCTGCCTATGTCCTCCCATTCAGAGGCAAATATGGGCTGACCAACTGGGACCAGTGGCAAGGTGAAGAAAGCATCCTTTAAGTCCAGGACAGTATAAACTTGCCTTTCTGTTGGAATTTCTCCCAAGAGAGTATATGGGTTTGGCACAGTACGGTGAATTGTCTCATTAATTTCTCTTAAATCCTGAACAGGCCTAAAGTCCCCATTTGGTTTAGGGACAGGAAGAAGTGGAGTATTCCATGGTGAATGGCAGGGAACAAGAATATTTTTCTGAAGGAGTCTCTTAATATGTTTAGATATTCCTTCCCTGGCTTTTCTTGGGATAGGGTATTGTCTGCTTCTGATAGGTGTAGCTGTGCTTAGAAGTTGGACCACAACTGGGGCCTGATTCAGAGTTTGACCAGGAGGGTTGAACTCTGCCCAGACTTTTGGTATTTCATTCTTCCATTTTTCCTTAAGGGGTGAGATGGTTTTGGTTTCCATAAGGTGGGTTTCATAGAATTTATACTCTGCCATGACCAGACATGTTACTAGGATGGTAGGAGGATACAGGGCCAAGTAGATAGCGTCCCCTTTAAATGAAATCTATACCTTCAATTTATGAAGTAAGTCTCTTCCTAACAATGGGTGTGGGCAGTCAGGGCCACCAGAAAGGAGTAGGTAACAGTTCCATCTGCTAAAGACTCTGGCTTTAGTCATTGGGCAACTGAGGGTCTTCTCTGAGACTCAGTGGATATATATTTTAGATTTAATCGGTGCTCCTAATTTTTAAGCACGCTATAATTAGCCCCAGTGTCCACCAGAAAAGTGGTGTTCTTCCCTTCTACTTGTAGGGTGACCATGGGCTCCAAGGGGTTTAGGGAAAAGCCCAGCCCCCCACCCCATTCATGGGACTTAGACTCAAAGGCCTGAGTCGGGCGTCTCTGTCCTCGCTTTGGGCATTTACTTTTCCAATACCCCTTTTCCTTGCAAGTAGGCACACTGATCCTTTTCTAGCTTCTTCTGGAATCTAAATTCTCTTTGCTCTGCCTCTCTTTGGCCAGCTCCCTGGCCTGGCCTCAGTGTAGCCAGCAGGGCCCTTTGCGCCCTTTTCCCTTGGATTGTTGCTGGATCTTCTCAAGCATTAAAAACCTTCTGAGCCACTTCCATCAGTTCAGAAATAACTTTCCCTTCAAATCTCTCTAATTTCTGGAGCTTTCTTCTTATATCAGGGGCCGACTGAGAGACAAAAGCTATACTGACTGCCCTTCTACTTTCTGGAGCTTCTGGATCTATGGGACTATACATCCTATATGCCTTATATAATCTTTCTAAAAAGGCAGCAGGAGATTCATCTGGACTCTGGATAATCTCACTAACCTTAGACAAATTAGTGGGCAGCTGCCCTGAGGCCCTGTGACAGGAGTTAGCGATCATGGAGTAAATACCCCCTTACCTGCTGGAGGGGTAGAAGGGATCCCAGCAGGTCTCGATTTCATCCTGATCTGCTGTAGGGAGGCCATCTCGGCCAGGATGTGGCGCAGTGCCTCTCCCAGGATGCAGTTTCTCTCCTCTGAAGTGAAGAGAACCCATAAGAGCTGTTGGCAGTCTTCCCAGGTTGGCTGATGACTGCTGAAGACAGAAGGGATAAGGGAGATACGGCTCTGGGGATCGTCAGAGAAAGGGGGGTTCTGATGTTTCCAATTCTACAGATCTTTGGTTGAAAAAGGAACATAAACCAGGGATGGGGCGGCGCTCTGAATCAGAGCCAGGAGGGAGTGGAGGGGCGCCACCGCTCGCAATGGCGGAATGGAACGGCAGGGATCGGGAGAGGATGAGGAAGGGGCAGAAGGTCCAGTATAAGGAGTGCGGAGTGAGTCTTAGGTGGGGACATGGAGCATAGCTCTGTATCAGGGACAAGTACTCCGGGTGAACTGAAGGTATCCAGGAGGGAGCTCACAGGTGAGCTTCCCCGAACTGGATGACGTCAGGGGATCGGAGGCTCCACTCCAGGCAGAGCCCCCTCCTCTACTACAAACAAGCAGTCTTCCATCCCTGTCCTCCCCACCCCACATCCCCCCCCGACCTGCTCAAGCAATTCCACCCTCTTGTTTCCTGGGGGCCCTGAAGAAGCTCCAAGGACCCCCATTCCCTGTCCCCATCTGGGGCATACTAGTGCAGGATTGACCTCATAAGCCTAGCTTTCTGAGCCATGTGGAGCTAGTGGGCCTACAGTGCTCCCCATGTCCGTGTACCTCCTCTTATGACACCAGAGTCACTAGAGCCCGTCTCCCCCTCTCCCCACCAGCTAGCCTCAGTGGCACCCTTCCCTTATGGGGCCTTGATGCCAACTGCTGCTTCTCAGGCCTTCAGGCAAAGCCAGGCCCGTGAAAGCTCAAATCAAGAGAGGATGTGTCTGCCCCGGCCTGCCCACCTCAGGACTCAGATTATGATGCTGCTCCGTCAACACAGAGTTCCTGGGAACAGGACGTCACTGTTGGGGCCGTCATACATTCCTGGGAGCTGCTGTAAGCCTGGTTCCTTTCAGGGCCCCCAGGCAGCACCGTGGAGCCCAGCCTGTGTTGGCAAGAACAGATTGAGAACTGCAGCCTGGGGGCCAGTGACCCGGGACAGCTCCTCCACTGCCCACACCACCCTGCTCCACGCCTGGGTGAAAACTGCTTCTCCTGCGCCCTGAGGCGACCTGGCTTGCTTCTTAGACTGTTCCCTCATCTCAGAGGGTTGAAGAGTGCAATTAAACTCTGGCCGGCCAGGCCTGCGCAGCCCACCCCCACCCCTGCTGCTTCCAAGGCTGTATTTCACAGCCCAGCTCTTTGCTTCTCTGACCCGCAGTCCCAGTGTCCAGCCTCCTGACACCTGCACGGCCAGCCCCAAAGAGGCTGGGCAGCATCGAGCAATGGCGGAGATGCATGTCAAGAGAGTGTGGGTCTGACATTTTCTGTGCCCATAATGTCTGTGACCAGCTTGGATAGGGGAAAAATCTTGCCTCCAAAAGTGGATGGGGAGTGTTCCTCTCCACTATCTTCTAAAAAAGTTTTGTAAGGTCAGAATGATTCATTTCTCTGTGTGTGTCTGTATGTGCATGCTTGTGTATGTGCACATATGTGTGTGTCTGCACAAGCATGTGTGTGCATGTATGTTGAGGCCAGTACTGTCTTTCTCAATTGCTACAGTTGGCCTCCACAGACGGATCAGCCATCAAGCTCCAGGAATTCACCGTCTCTGTCCCCCTACCCCCACCCCCAGGACGGAGGTTACAGATATGTGAGTGCCGAGGATTTGAACTTGGATCCTCAGGCTTGGCACAGCAAGCACCTGATAGACAGCCATCTCAGCCCCCAAATGATTCATTTCTTAACTGCCTTACGGACTCACAGGACTCACCAGCCACACCACTGGGAATGGAGGTTAGTTAGAAGTCCAGTTTCCCTGATTGGTTCCTCATGTTTTCAGTTGTGCCTTTGAAGGAGTCGGGACTCTTCCTCGAGCCTGTTGGATGTGAGAGCACAGTGTTTAAGCTCCGCTGTGCCCTCTGAACATCTGGCTCTGTGGGTGCCTCTTGACTGTTACACATCTGGGAAGGGCAGGAGACATGGCTCGTGGTAGAGCGCTTGCCTAGACAGCGTAGGCCCTGGGTTTCATCCCCAGCAACGTGGATCTGGGCACGGTGATGCAGTTCTAGAATCCCAACACCTGGGAGGCTGAGGCAAGAGGCTTCATTGTGTTCCAGGCCAGCCTGAATTGCATAGCAAATGCTGGGCTACATAGCAAGCCCCTGTTTCGGGGCACGGCGGGGGAATCAATCTCAGTAATTTTTATTTTTGTCTTTTTTTTTCTAAATTAGTGTCCTAGTTTGCTTTTAGTTGCTGTGATAAAACAGTGACTAAAACCAACTTGGGAGGAAAGGGTTTATGTCACCTTATCGCTCACAGTTGAACCTGGAGGGAAGCCAGGGCAGGAGCTCAAGGCAGGGAACTGAAGCAGAGACCACGGAGGAACACTCCTTACTGGCTGCTCAGCTATCTTTCTTATACAGCTCAGGCCCACCTGCCTAGGGATGGCTCCACCCACAGTGGGCTGGGCCCTCCTCCATCAATTAGCAATCAAGAAAATGCCACAGACACGGCTACCGGCCTGGCTGATGGAGGAAATTCTTCAGTTGAGGCTCCCTCTTCCCAGGGGTCTAGGTTCATGTCAAGTTCACAAAAGCTATGACAGTCTACATAAAGTTCTTCAATTTTTTAATCTTTTAAGAAGACCATTCTCATTTCATTGATTTTCTCTATTTCTGCTCCATTTGGGGGCCTTAATTTACTATTCTGTCTTTGTGGCTTCCTGTGGTCTCCTTACTGGGCTTCCATTAGCTGAACCCCTGCAGCTCTTCTGGTACCACAGCTGGGGACCTCCTCCAAGACAGTCACAGTGCGCGCCTTGTGTTCTCCTGCAGAGCCTGTCCTGCACCACCTGGTGTCCATGTCACCAGGCAGCACTTTGAGTTTCTATGATGGGCCAGTGACTCTGACCCTACTCCCCCCTCACACAGGAAGTGGAAGCCACTGACTTCTTCCTGTCCATTCCAGGCCCTCAGAAGACCCATCTCTGCACTGGCAGCACGGAGAGTCTCACACCCAAATGGTCCCCGATGATACTTGCTTCATGCACAGCCCATCAAGAGTGCCCTGTTGTGGAGCGTTTTCCTCATAATAGAACCTTCCATCTTGTGGGGCTGGAGAGATGGCTCAGCAGTTAAGATCACTGGCTGCTCTTACAGAGGACCCAGGTTTGATTCCCAACACCCACATGGCAGCTAACAACATCCGTAACTCTAATTCCAGGGGATCCTTCTTCTGATATCTGAGGGCATTGCACAACATGGGTGCAGTTACACACGTGCAGGCCATGTACTCATACACAACACCCACACGGCAGCTAACAACATCCGTAACTCTAATTCCAGGGGATCCTTCTGATATCTGAGGGCGTTGCACAACATGGGTGCAGTTACACACGTGCAGGCCATGTACTCATACACATCATACACATAGAATAAAAATAATAATAAAAAAAAGCTTCCCGTCTTGGAGGGAAGCTCATTCAGACGCAGCTTGTTCAAAGGGGAAGTGAAACCTTCCATCCTCCAGGGAAGGTCCTGAGCCCAGGAAGTAAACTAAAAAGCTTCCCGTCTTGGAGGGAAGCTCATTCAGACGCAGCTTGTTCATAGGGGAAGTGAAACCTTCCATCCTCCAGGGAAGGTCCTGAGCCCAGGAAGTAAACAACTCAATACCTACAGAAAGTCCCTGAAACCGACCAGACTCACTGGCCCCTCCTGCCCCCAAGCCCCCAAGGGTATATAAGGAGTAAGGACTCTGAGAGACCCTCAGACCAGCAGAACGACCTGGAAAGGACACTCTCCAGCCTGTCAAGCTGCCTGAAGGCTGTGAAGTGTGCTCCAGGTTTCCAGCTTCCGTGAGCAGTCCCCGGTGCCTGGGGCGGGCTTTAGGGATGCAGCTGTCTTTGAGTCATTTCTGCTTCTGTAAGTGACCCCAATAAAACTCACTGGCTCGCTGAGCTGGACTTCTGTCATAGCCTTGCTCTGGCCTCTCACTGGTTCGCTGAGCTGGACTTCTGTCATAGCCTTGCTCTGGCCTCTCACTGGCTCGCTGAGCTGGACTTCTGTCATATCCTTACTCTGGCCTCTCATTGGTTCCCTGCATGGGAGGAGTGGGTGTTTGCTCACAGCTTCCCATATGGAGATTTGAATGAGAAAGTCCCCCATAGGGTCCAAGTATTTGGACATTTTGTCCCCAGTTGGTGGCGCTGTTCTGGGAGGTCTTAGGAGATGTGGCTATGGTGGAGGAAGCACGTCACTGGGGGCGGGCTTAGAGAGTTCTTAAGCCTTGTGGGATCTCAAGTCACTCCCTTGCTTCCTGTGCCTGCGTGATGATGTGAGAGCTTAGCTTCCAGTCCTCCTCCAGCCACCTCTGCCACCATGCCTCCCCGCCACAGCGGACTGTAATGCCCCTGGAACCATAAACTCAAATAAACTCTCCTTCCATAAATTGCTTTGGTCAGTGTTTCTATCACAGCAACAGAAAAGGGACTAATACACCCCAGGAAGTGACACACAACTTTAACCACGAGGCCGCAGACGCTCTGGACCGCCAGCATTCCTCATTAACCACTGCCAAGAACCCGTCACTCGGGTCAGAGGCAACAACACAGACTCTGCCACATTACCATGTTTGTGTGGGATGAGGGGCAGTTACTGTACCAGCACGGATGGTCAGAGGCAGGAACCACGTGTCACCAAAGAACCCCAAAGGTGGAGAGGGAGCCCCTGAGGAGCTTCCTCCATCAGGCTGGCCCGCGGCCATGTTCGTGGGGCATCTTCTTGATTGCTGAGTGAGGGAGGAGGGCCCAGTGCACTAGGCAGCACCATCCCTAGGCAGGTGTGGACTTGGGCTGTGTAAGAAAGGGAGCTGAGCTGGGTGTGGTGGCACCCGCCTTTAATCCCAGCACGTGGGAGGCAGAGGCAGGCAGATGTCTTTGAGTTTGAGGCCAGCCTAGTCTACACAGTGAGTTCCAGGCCAGTTGGGGCTACCGGGAGACCCTGTCTCAGAAAAAAAAAAAAAAAGTAATTGAGCAAGTCAGGGGAAGCAAGTAAGTCAGTAAACATCATTCCTCCATGGTCTCTGCTTCAGTTCCTGCCTTGAGCTCCCGCCCTGATGTCCTTCCTGTTAGATAAAAAGTAGCCCTATGACAATAGGGTTGATTAGGAGCAAGCAGAGTTTATTAGCAAAGGAACACATGGGATAGATTCCCTTCAGAGCAGGGAAAATGTCTGCCTGGGTCTTGAGCTGGGGTCTTTAAAAAGGGAGGCTTCTGCTTCCTGCAGAAGGCGGGAAGATGTATTTATTTTTTTTAAAGTTGGGCGGGGAGTGGGAGAGCGGGACTGTTAAAACCTGTCCTCTTTAGAGATCAAAGGGGAAGCCTGCTGTGTTGGCCAAACAGTGGAGAAAAGTCTGCTTCTCTAGACTTCAAAGACCAGGGTGCTTATCAGCTCGGTTCCCTTTTCTCAGGAGCTTGAGAAGTCCATGAGACCCTGTTGGTGAGGGGGTGGGGCTATCTGAACCTTAACACTTCCATGATGGTCTGTAAGCTATAAAGTGATCTAAACCCTTTCCTCCCTATGCTGGCTTCGTGGTGTTTCGTCACAACGAGAAGCAGACTAGGACCCTGGACTAAATGAGACCTTGTTGCAATTGAAGAAACAAAACACATAACGCAGAAACCCTGGAGGGCTAGGACCCTTGTCCACTTTTGCCCTGCACCCCTCTGGTGCCCCCTGCTGGCACGGCCTCCCAGGGAAAGGCCAGCAAAACTGGAGGTGCTTTGTAGAAGGTGCAGCTTGCCAGGGCCAGGTAAGACAGAGTGGGAAGCCTGGAGAACACATCCTGACAGGTGGCACCAGTGGGAATCAGATGCCAGCAGTCAGGAGACACCATGATTTCCAGAACACACGTGTATTGTTTCTCACACATACCACAGCCACCTGCCTGAGCACTGAACACCAGCGGCTGCAGTTTTAAGAGGATTTCTCCCTTCGGGCAGGCCAAGAGCCCCGAATTCTTGTGCACTCCTCCCTGTGAGGAGTCTCTGGCCCCTTCTGTACTAAAGACTGTACCATAGTTCCTTGACACCAGCCGTCCTCCTGGCCTCTGCCTCCTGGCCTCTGCCGCAGTCCGGGCTCCCAAGGTCCTGCTGCCTGGAGTTCCAGGCTGGCAGCGGCCACACTCTACAGAAATACGCATGCTTTTGTTGTGTCTCTGATGGCCTGGCACATGGTGGCTCTTCTGTGTCATCAGTGGAGAGAAGTGGTGCCTAAAAGGCTCCTGGGTGGGTGGGTGGGGGTCTCTGTCTAGACCAGAGTGCCTGTGAGGTCACTGCTGGGCGGGCCACTGCTTAGCCGTGCTCCCCTGGGCTATCCTGACTTCCTCTGAGTGCCAGGCCTGCCAGGAAGGCTGTAGGGAGGGAGCCAGCTTTCTCTTGCTGCCCACACCTGGGCAGGGGCAGAGCCCAGCAGAGGAACAAGGTCCCCAGAGGCTCCTTCCTGACCAGCCCCATCCCAGCCTACACCATGTGACACGGATGAGCCTGCTGACGCTGAGTCGCAGTGCCCGCGGCTCTGGCAGCAGCGGCTGGAGCCTCGGTCTGGCCAAGACAGCTCCACTGAGTCCCAGGGAGGAGCAGACATGACCAGAACGGTGAGTAATGGGGGGTTACTGGTCAGGGTGGGGCTCTGGGACAATCCCGGAGCTTGGTGTCCTTCTGGGTGGCCAGGTGGGGGAGGGGCAGCTTCCTAGACTGCCCCTGGCCCATCCTCCACTCTCAGGCTTGGGCTGAACCGGCTCTAGAAGACCAGCTTAATTGAATGACACACCCCCACCCCACCCCCTGAGTCTCCAGTCCCACCACTTAACAGCTCCCCCGCATTGTATCCTGTGAGGAGGAGGGGGATGGGCGCTGTTCAAGGAGACAGCCTAGGCACTGGTCCTCAATCCTCACTACCCCTGGCAGGAGTAAAACCAGGGCTGGGTGTGCCCAAAGCCAGTCTCTGCAGATGGCTGACCACATCTATGCCCCCTTCCAGCCCTTCTGAGTTTCTGGGTGGTGGGAGATTGCTGAGCCGACTTCCCAGCTCTCCTTCATTCTCCTCCTTCCCTCCCCCCTCACGGACCACCCAGCTCTTCCGCAGCAACCGTGGAACCCCCGAGCCCCTCCCAACCACAGGCTGGGCAGGTAGTCCTACACACAACCCCAACACAGGGCCCTAGTGGGAGAGAGACACCAGCCAGGCCTGACTCAGCCTCACCGGCACATCACTGACCCTCCACCCCCGAGTTGTTCTCCGGTTCTGGCCATTTGCCTCCTCCTTCCCCCTCCCCCTCCCCTCTCTCCCCGATTCTGCTCCAGGTTTTCCCTGGGGCGTGTGGGACTGTGTCTGCCCCACCTCCTGTCCCTAGCTGGCAGTGGGGCTTTTGGTACACAGGGCCTTTCAGGTGCAGAGGCGATAGAGGAAGCGTTCCCAGGAAAGGAGGGGAGGGGAGGGAAGAGGAGGGGAGGGAAGAGAAAAGGGGGTTGCAGAGCTGCATGTGGGAGCCTCAGAGCCTCCCTGCATCCTGGGAGCAGCTCAGTGCATCTGCAAATGAACAGGACTGAGTAACTGGGAGGGGTGTCCTGTCAGTAGACTCATCTTTAGCTGTTCTCCCCACCTCCCGACCCCCATGGCTGTGGCAACTGGCCCAAGCTTCCTAGAAGCTTTGGCCCATCCCACCTGTGACATCAGGGTGCCCAGAGCCCCACTCAGTCTCCTGTCGAGTGTGATCCCAGGACCACATGGGAAGACAGTACTAAGAGAGCCCAGCATCAGTACCTAGACTCAACTCACCACACCTCTGCCCACTGCCACTCAAGCAGACCTCAGACCTCAGGAGCTGAGATGGAGCACAGCCAGAAGTGGGACCCTTCATCTCCACCCAAGGCTTAACACTATCCACCCCACCCCACCCCAGAAGCCAGAGGACCAGCCAGAGGCAGGGGGAAGACAACAGCAGCCTCTGGGGAGACCAGAAGGCCTTGTTCCATCTCTCCAAAGCATGAGAGAGCTGAGGGCTCTGATGGGGACAGATGACCACAGGTGGGGGGAGGGGACAGACAACTACAGGTGGAGGGAGGGGACAGACAGCCACAGGTGGAAGGAGGAGACAGGGGACCATGCTAGTGGGATGGCATCAGGTGACAGCCAGCCTCTTGCTGAGATCTGGGGTCTCCAGTGAGGTCTGGTGGCCAGCTGGCTTCGTGGTACAGCTGCAGGTCAGGTTAGGTCAGGGCTCTGATGCCTCTGGAGGCCCCACCCCCCAGCATGAAGGCCCCAGTGAACCACTTCCTCAGGCCAGGCAGGCAGGGGGTGAGATCCAGCCACCATCACCTTCAGACAGATCCTCTTTGCCTCCAGGGAGGCATAGGGACAGGTGAGTGACATGTGAGAAGGATGGGCCTCCAAAGTCCCTAGAGGGCTGGAATGCTGTTACCACACAGGGAAGTGGAGAGGGAGGAGTCTTTTGCCTACTTTGCCTGCAAGGAATTAGGCTGGAGGCTCCAGATCCCACTACCAATACAGTGATGGAATGTTCCAGAAAAGCCTGGAAGGCTTATGCTGATGACAAACACAGGGGACGTCTGCATATCCTCTAATCTCTATACTCAAGTTCTGTCTTGGTCTTTAAAGCAGACTATTTTGATGCTCAAAGGGAGCCATGGGTGTCAGAGGTGGGTGCCAGAGAGATGGCCCAGCAGTTAAGCACAGAGGACCTGGGTTTGGTTCCCAGCACATACATAGCAGATAACACCCATCTGAACTCCAGGTCCAGGGGATCTGACGTCTTCTTCTGGCCTCCATGGGCACCAGGCATGCATGTGGCAAACTTACAAACACATAAAAATTAAAATCTTTAAAAAAAAAAAAAAAAAGAAAGAAAGAAAGAAAGAAAAAGGAGGGGCCAGAGGATTCTTTAATCCAGAGGATTAAAAATCCTAGCACTCCAAAGACAAAGGCAGGCAGATCTCCAAGGCCAGCATGGGCTACATAGTTCCAAGCCAGAAGCCAGTTGAGGCTACAGGGAGACCCTGCTAAATAAAGCAGGGCTACTAGGGTCTCCTCCCTTCTTGTGTCCCAGCCCTGCTGGCACTGAACAGACACCATTAGCAGCCCCCCAGCCTTAGCAGGCCCCCAGCCTTAGCAGCCCTCTGGGATTGGACTCAGAGAGACTCTGGTGGGAATGTTTCTACCCAGCCTTAGACAGGGAGAGAAGGTTAGGTCAGATAATGGGGCAGAAACGGGAGGTGGGCACCTCATTCAATGAGTCTCTATCGCTTTCACATGCCGACCCCTGGTTACCCTTGTCCTCCAAAGTGGGCAGGGTGAGGCACAGGACCCTGAGCTGGTGTCATTGTGTCCACAGGGCTGTCAGAAGTGAGAAAGTGCAGCTCCCCGGCAGCCCACAGGATCTGCCCTCACTCTTGGCCCACGATGGAACTGAGAGACAACAGACAACATTCAGTGTCCCAGGAGGACATGGCGTTCGACCTGACCATCCTGTCACTCACTGAGCTCCTCAGCCTGGGTGGGTTGCTGGGCAACGCAGTAGTCCTCTGGCTACTCAGCCAGAATGTCTACAGGAACCCCTTCTCCATCTACCTCCTGGACGTGGCCTGCGCTGACCTCATCTTCCTCAGCTGCCACATGGTGGCCGTCATCCCTGACCTGCTGCACGACCAACTGAACTTCCCCGAGTTCGTCCACGTCAGCCTGGCCATGCTGCGTTTCTTCTGCTACATCGTGGGCCTCAGCCTCCTAGCGGCCATCAGCACGGAGCAATGCCTGGCCACCCTCTTCCCCGCGTGGTACCTGTGCAGCCGGCCGCGCTACCTGACCACCTGCGTGTGTGCGCTCACCTGGGTGCTCTGCTTGCTGCTGGAGCTGCTGCTCAGCGGCGCCTGCACCCAGTTCTTCGGAGCACCCAGCCACCGCCTGTGCAGGACGCTGTGGCTGGTGGTGGCGGCCCTGCTGGCCGCCCTGTGCTGTGTCATGTGTGTGACCAGCCTGCTGCTGCTGCTGCGAGTGGAACGCAGCCCGCAGAGGCCCCAACCCCGGGGTTTCCCTGCCCTGGTCCTGCTGGCCGTCCTCCTCTTCCTCTTCTGTGGCTTGCCCTTCGGCATCTTCTGGCTGTCTAAGAGCTTGCACTGGCACATCCCCCGCTATTTTTACCATTTCAGTTTCTTCATGGCCGGCGTGCACAGTGCGGCCAAGCCGGCTATCTACTTCTGCCTGGGCAGCACCCCCGGCCAGAGGCTGCAGGAGCCCTTCCGGCTGGTGCTCCAGCGGGCGCTGGGGGATGAGGGCGAGCTGGGGGCTGTGAGAGAGGCTTCCCAGGGAGGCCTCGTGGACATGACCGTCTAAGCCCTGTGCCTCACAACTGCAGCTCTGGCCCACGGAACCTGGGGGAGCCTGTGGTTAGGAAGGGTTGGGATCAGAGCTGGATCAGTGAGACCCTGGAGGGAGGTCTTTGTTGAGGACCTAGTCACATGTTCCCTGCAAGGATGCTGGGAAGGTCAGGCAGAGAGCTACATCTCTGTGAAGGAAGCCAGGGAATGTGCATCTTAGGGAGAACCTTCCCCAGGCACATGATGTCATGACAGCCACTGCCAAGGCCCCTCCCCATGGTTACAGTGCCCTCAGAAATGAGGTGGGTCAGTCACTGATCAGGGGCAGGTAACTGTCTCCCCCCGCCCATCAGCATTCTCCTAGCTGTAGAATGTGGGGTGACCTTCTTCAGCTATCCATACCCCTCTCTTTAGTGCAGGCTAAAATGGTGAGGATATTAGAGGCTCAACTAGGTGTGAGGCTTGAGTGGCTCAGGGGCTCTCGATGGCTGAACCACAGTGGACAATCCCTCTCTTTAGTGCAGGCTAAAATGGTGAGGATATTAGAGGCTCAACTAGATGTGAGGCTTGAGTGGCTCAGGGGCTCTCGATGGCTGAACCACAGTGGACAACATCCTCCTGACTCCGTAGCACAGCCAGAGAGCAGGCCCAGCTGGCTGCTGTCAGGCATCAAGAGCAGAGCTGGGACAGGCCTGTCATCTCAGCCACTTGGGAGACTGAGGCAAGAGGATTGCAAAATCAAGACCTGCCTGGGAAATTGTGACGGCTCATCTTGGTGGTCAACTTGACAAACCTAGGAAGAGGGAACCGTAAATGGAAAATTGTATCAGGCTGGCCTCTGGGTGCTTCTGTGGGTCATTTCCTTGATTTCTATTTGGTGTAGGAAGGCCCAGTCCACTGTGAGGTGTGTCATCCCTGGCAGGTGGGCCTCGGCTGTCTAAGGCACCTGAACGTGAGTCTGGGAACAGGCCAGTGAGCAGTGTTCCTCCGTGGTTTCTGCTCCAGGTTCCTGCCTTGAGTTCCTGCCCTGTCTTCCCTCACTGATGGACTGTGACTTATAAGATGAAATAAACCCTTTCCTGCCCAGCTTGCTTTGGTCACGGTGTTGATCACAGCAACAGACAGCAAACAAGAACAGTAGCTTAGTGAGACCCTGCCTCAAAAAAATGGAAAAGCCAGGGATATAGCTCCATGGTAGAGTGCCTTTGTAGCATGGGCAAAGCCCTAGATTCAATACCCAGCACCGCAAAAAGAAAGAGACAGAGAGGAGAGGGAGGGAGTGAAGGAGGAACAGAACTGTTCCCAGGACCAAGGGGCCAGGGCCAAGCAGCCCATGGAACCCTGACAGAAGCCAGGTGAGACCTGCTAGGAATCTATGTATCAGGACACTGCAGTCACAGCCCCTGGAGCACCTCCTGACCACAGGCTGGTGAATCTGGGCTCCGCTGAAAATGGTCTTTTCAAGTGTTACCAGCCCCTGTGCTGCCCAGAGCTCATGCCTACACTGTCCACTCATCATCAGTATGTTCCACTGTTGTCAGTTCAAGCAGGAAAACAGGGCGTCCCAAGCATGGGGACCCCTCAGAACAAGGCTCCTTGTGACTGGAGACTCCTTCAAGCTACTCTGTCCTTGCAGAGGAGGACACACGGGGACACAGCAGTGGCTTCTGGAAGTCCATGAGACTGATGTGGAGAACTGGCCCAGAGCTAGGCATGGTGGTGCCAGCCATCACTTGGGAGGTGGAGGGAGGAGGACCAAGAGCCCAAGGTCAGGGGCTGGAGAGACGCTCCGTGGTTAAGAGCACTGGCTGCTCTTGCAAAGGACCTGGGCTTGGTTCCCAGCACCCACACGCTAACTCACAATCGCCCCTAGCTCCAATTCCAGGGGATCTGTCATCCTATTCTGACCCCCACAGTTACTGCATGCATGTAGCACACATACATGTAGGTAAAACACAAATTCACATAAAATAACGTAAAAATAAAATAAACAGTTCAAGGTCAGTCTAAGCTATATAAGACCCTGTCTTAAAACCAGAGAGGGATGGGATTGGGGGGAAGACCGAGAGAGAGAGAGAGAGAGAGAGAGAGAGAGAGAGAGAGAGAGAGGGAGAGAGAGAGAGAGAGAACACCAGGTGATGTAAACCTCACCCAGAGCTTCAGGAAAGCTGGTGTCCACTGGATCTGAGTCTCAAGGTCAGACTCTGTGTGGGCAGGGGCAGGGAGGCCCCTCTTGGCCCTACTTACACCCACCTGCAGGACAGAATCGAGGGATTCAGCACCTGGACAGCTCCTGGCACAAGGCGCAGGTCCTACCCAGCAGGGTCCCTCCAAGGGAGGAGCCTGTCTGCATCCTACCACAGGTGGCTGAGTTTCCTGATGCTGATCTGGCCATGCAGGATGCAGAGATGAACGATGAACAGGGGACTGCCCATCCAGGCATAGGTGTCTGGGAGCCAGGGCTTGGGAACCCACCAACCTGGCCCGAGTCCGCTCACCACCACCCAATGTGTCACTGTACTGACCCAGCCCACACACCTCTGCTTCCTCATTGAATTGAGTTGATTGAGTTACACATGTACAGTGCTCTGAGGCATGACAGTAAGTTCCGAGAGGATTTTATTATATTACTGACAGTCCAGGCCCATGTCCACCGTATGAAGCTTAATATAGACCACTGGGGTCTCCTTTAACAGCCATTACAGCTTAATTCTGACTTGGACCAGGCCCCCAGATGGCAGAACATTTGGTCCCTGGCATGATTAAACTTGTCCCTGAGTATGAGATCACAAGCCCCTGCATGACATCCTGGGCTCACACCACTCAGGTTGTTCTGGGCTGCACCCCAGTGGCATGGTGCCTTTGCCTTAAATTCTCAGACATCTGTGGCTGGTCTATAAGCAGTAATTCTAGGGGGCTGGAGCCTGGGGTGGGGAACTAGTGAGTCTCTGAGGAGTCTTTCCCAGCCCCCATGAGGGCCTTCCCTCCTCCTCATGTGGCTTAGGAGCCAGTGTGGCCGTCTGTCCGCCTCCAGGATAAGATTCTCAGCTTCAGTTCCTCGGCTTGGGGAAATGAGGTCAGGAAAGCGCACAAGTCCACAAGTCCGATCTTCAGCCTCTGGATACCCATTTTTCCCAGACTAGAAATGACCAGGGAGATGGCATTAACCAGCCTCACCAATATCCACCCAACAGTGCATGAGCCCAGAGCCTGTACAGTAATGCCAGAAGACATAAGACATGTCCAGTACCCTCTACCACATCCTTTACTACCTTGCTGGACCAGGGCTAGCTGGGTCATAGCCTCTCACCTACTCAGACCCTTAGCCATTCTGGGGTACAGATAGGGGCCTTCCTCCCAGACAGAGGTTTGGAACACCTCAAAATTTCTCCTTTTTGGACTTTCTGGAGCAGAAGAAATCTTCCTGAGGGGTCCCCAAATTTCAGCCTTCTCCAGGTCTGTCTGCTCAGTTCCCTTCCTGTGGTCCAAGAAGACCTTCCTGTCCTCCCAGTCAGGCCCCATCCTGACCACATCCCCCTTCTGCCTCCAGAGCAAGAAAGTCCCACCAAGGGACTTCTAGCCATCTTCAACACCCCCACCACACATGTGACTGTAAGACCAACTGCTCCAAGTTGCCCCTTCCTGGGCATCCAGGCAAAACTAGATCTAGGGAGGCTCAGGTTCCAGAAGGATGCAGCCTGAGGGTCAAGCCAGTGTCCACCATGGCGTGTCTGCCTCAGGACCTGGGGCCCTGGGGGCTGCTCTGATGACAGAGTTTCCAGGAACAAGAAATCACTGTGACATCAACACTGAGGCAGGCAGACATTCCTAGGAGCCGCTGTAAGCCTGGCCCCTCCCAGGGCCCACAGGGAGCCCTGTGCAACCCAGCCTGTGTTGACAGGGACACAGACTGAGCAGGAACAGTAGCCTGGCAGCCAGTGGCCTGGGACAGTGTTCCCCACTGCCCACTCCACCCACTGCCCACTCCACTCTGATCCGTGCCTCACTCACTATTCTCTCACACCTCCCCCAGCTCTCCATTTCAGAGGTTAGGAAAGGCCTTGGCCTCTTGCTCCAGGATTATGTCTTTTAGAGCCTAGCATTTTGCTGCTTTGACCCATGGTCCCAGTGTCCTGCCTGTGGTATCTACAGGGACAGCTCCAGAGAGGCCATGGGAGCCCCTGGGGTCCCACTGAGCCCTTGTGCTTCACATAACACCAAGTGTGAGGTCACTAAGGCATCCTAGGCCTGCTTCTCTTAATGACTGAGCTTTTGTTAACTTTCAGGGCCCATTCACGATATCCCTAGGTTCAGAGTCTACTCTGCACAGGGCTACGGATGACACAAGTGGTGCGCGATTACTCAATCTTCAGAGATAAAAGAGAGGGCCAAACAGGAACCACAGCCCAGGGGATTATGCCCCTGGTGGTGGGAAGTGGGGCACCTGTAGCATGCCCTGGGAGACCCCAGGTCCCGAAGAGGAGGGAGAACCCTGGAAGAACTGAGCACAGCTACCACTCCACCTCAGCAGCTCAGCAAGTCCCTGATCCTGTCCTGTTTCCAATCTGCCTTGGCACCTGGGGTCTCTCTGACCCTGAGGGACACCAGTCCCAGGGCAGGCTGATTCCAGACTGTCAAGCACTGGTTCGGGGTTCTAAGTACAGCGGCCGAAGCAGAGCCTGGACCACACTCTACTCCTGTAACCACCCTGACCCTCAGTGCCCCCCCCGACCCCACTCCAGGGCAGGTGCCAGTCAGGAGCAACCCCCGCACCCGTGATCCCGAGATTACACCATCTGACCCACCCCCCCCCGACCCCACTCCAGGGCAGGTGCCAGTCAGTCAGGAGCAACCCCCGCACCCGTGATCCCGAGATTACACCATCTGACCCATCCTTTCCCATAAAGATCAAAACGCCATTTCTCGCCAGTGATCCCTCTCCCGTCTTCTGCTCCCTGACTCACTCTGAGACACTGAGGTGGGAACTCAAGGTTGCAGGTTCTGAGTCCCAGAATAACCTGAAGGCATCTGGCGTCTCAATGTTTGCTGTGTGCTTTGGCCAGAGACAAGAGCGGTATCCCCGAACTGACATCATATCCAAGCTGATGTGGCCAGGGAACCCAAGGTCTGGAGGCTCCTGCACTGGGAGTATGTGACAGGGCCTCCAAGGCCCAGGCCATGCAGTTTGCATTTGAAAGCCAAGTACTCTGAGGACCCAGCTGTCCATTTGATCAGTCCGGTGAGATGGGGAAGTTGAAACACACAGAGGTTTGGCCACTCTTCAAAGCCACACAGCCTGAAAGGGGCAGGCCAGCAGCCACTTCCAGGCCTGAGCCTGCAATTGCAGTGCCCCGAGGACGCCAGGAGCCTCCCACATCAGTGCAACAGCCATGAAGTGTGGTCCAGCCCTTGCTGAGGGCCCCTCTTTCTACCCAAATTGTGGGGATCTGACTGTTGGGGTGCTTGCAGGTCTCAGGTCTCTGAACTCTTCCAT